GTTTCTTAGCATGTATTCAGGAATCGCTTTCTTGCTTGGGATTCCCTGACACTTTCTTTCCATGGCGCGCCCTCGACGTCTAGGAATCGACCTCTTGAGAATTTGCTCAGGAATCATGCTCTCGCCTGAGGCGTCTGCACAGTTTACGAAGTTCGCTTCAGTGCCCCGACCACCCGTCAGGGCCCGCCTGCCCGACCGGCCAGTCTGGGTCCGCCGCGCCCGCCCGACCGGCCCGTGAGGGTTCGCCGGCCCGACCCGCCCTGTAGGGTCCGACCGCCCGACCACCCGCTAGGGTTTTGGAGGACGATCAATGGAGAGGAAGCATGTTGCCAATCAACTTCCAGACTTCTAAAACATGTGATAGACATGTGAAAACACATGTTTAAGACATGTTTAGAACATTTGTCCGACTTGTTAGGCACATGTTAAATTCAATGATCGGACTGATAGGGGGTCCACTGTCGTGGCATCCACAACGCTAGGGTCCGCCCGTTCGCTTGCTTGGAAGCCCGTGCGCTCGCTTTGATGTCTCACCCACCCGAGCCGCCCAGTCCGGGTCCTCCCGCCCGCCTCGCCCCCCTTGGGCCCGTCCACCCGCCCCGCCCATCATGGGCGTCCGCCTGCCAATCCTCTTGTTTCTCTCTGCCCTCCCCCTCCTGGTAAATCGTTGCCTGTCCTCAACTGTCCTATCCCCCTCTTGTCCCCCCTCCCCATCTCTTTTCCTCCTCGCTGTCTCCCTTTTTCCTCCCCCCTCCCCTCCCACTGTCAGGAGCCGCGCCAACTGCAGATAGCAGGCAATACACCCCCCCACAGGGAACGATCGGAGACGAAGAGGGCGGGCGGGTATCGTGGGTTTTGGGGTATACATGTTGAGTGACATTCGAGCAATTCAAAGCGAGCAGCCTGAGCTCTAATATTGCTGGTGGTGATAATGAGGATGCTGATCATAAGAATGATAGTGATTGTGATGGTGAGGGTGAGGGTGATGGTGATGGTGGTGATGGCCATCATGCTGATGCTGAGGATGATGGCGCTGATGATGCTGTAGAGGATAATGCTGATGTTGATGCTGCTGATGCTGTTGCTGCTGGTGAAGATGATATTGCTAATGATGGTGATGCTGCTGCTGAATGTGATGGTGAACATGATGTTGCTGATGATGATGGTGATGATGAGGAGGAGGATGAGGATGAGGATGCTGCTGATGATGATGCTGATGGTGGTGATGATGATGATGATGATGGTGATGATGTTGGTGATGATGATGATGATGATGATGATGATGGTGATGATGATGATGATGGTGGTGATGATGATGATGATGATGATGATGATGATGATGATGATGATGATGATGCCGATGACGATGACGATGACGACGATTACGATTATGCTGATTGTGACGATGACATTACTGATGCTGTTGCTGATGCTGATGCTGGTGCTAATGCTGATGCTGACGACGACGACGAGCCCCAGTGGAGCCTGGGACACCTTGCGGCAGCGGGTGCTTCGCTCCTCGGGGGACCGCACGGGGGGCGCCCACCCGCACCGAGCTCCCCACGAGCAGCTCCCGTTCCCCCTGGCCCTCGCCGCCGCCGTTGCCGCCGCCGCCGTCGTCGTCGCCGCCGCCGCCGCTGCCACCGCCCTCGACGCCGCCGTCGCCACGCCGTCGTCTCCGCCATCGCCACCGCGTTCGCCGCCGCCCCCGTCGCCGCCGTCGCCCCCGCCGTCTTCGCCGCCGTCCCTGCCGCGTTCGCCGCCGCCGCCGCCGCCGTCTTCGCCGCCGTCGCCGCCTCGTTCGCCGCGTTCGCCGCCGCCGCCGCCGCCGCCATCGCTCCCCTCGCCGCCGCCGCCCGAGGCCTGGACGATCGAGCCGACCAAGGGCGACCCGGCCGAGGCGCGGCAAGGGCCAGGGGCAACGCGGTAGGGGAGGAGAGGCTCTCAGGGGGAAACGCATCTACCCCCAGTCGTCGCTTGCTCGCCGGTGGGGGTCTGACATGCCCGCCCCGCGCAGGAACGTCCGCCTCTGCCATCGCCGGGGGCCTGCCGCTGGTGCCTCGGCGATGCGTCCCCGATGCGTCCCCCCTGGAGAGCTTGGCCCCTCCCTGCCGCGGCCCCCCCCCCGGCGGGTGCTGTCCGGGCGGGCCCGCGGCCTTGGCGGGGCGGGCCGGAGCGGAGCGCTCCACGGGGCCCGGCGGGGGTCCAGCTCGCCGCGTGTGGAGGCAGCCGCCGCACGCCGCGCCGCCATGCCTGGCCGGGGCCGGGCGCGGCGGCGGTGTGCAGAGGAGTTGCCAGCCTCGAACGTATCCCTATCCCTAAGATTGACACGCCAAAAGGCGATGACAATCTTAGGATTCGCCCTCAAAAAATAAGGGAATCCCTAAGATTGGCATCGTGATGAGGAGGTGCCCAGCATAGGGATAGGGATATGTTCCAGGCTGGTAAAGGAGGGCGAGTTGAGCCGAAGGTAGTCGGCCTTCGGGGGGACCTCTTCCTCAGGCCTCTTTGGCAGAGGCAAGGTTGGGATGCAACTCCTGGGAGGTCAAGTTCTGATTTTGCACTGGTCCGAAGTCCGGCTTAATCCAGCTTAATCCCGCTCAGTCCCATTATATCCCGCTCGATCCCGCTTAATCCAACTTGATCCCGCTTAATCCGAGGTCCACTCCGGCGTAACCGACGAACACCTCCTTGTAGTTGCCTCCTATCTGTGGGCCCGCCCAGAGACAATTCCATAGGACATTGGAACGTTTGCGCGAGATGCGCTTCGAACAGTTGTGGCTGAGGCACTTTGTTTCAACACGCTGGCTTTATGCTCTAAGATCATTAGAGTGTTGTTCGGATGTTCTATGGTTCTAGAGACATTTCGTGGTCGGCCGATAGGAATGCCGGGACGGTCGGTCCCTGCTCAACCCAGGAGATCGGAGGATCGAGCCGTATTGCCGATGCATCAGAGATGTGGCTCGATGTGGAGTGTGATCTTCTCCGCCTCGGCGTGGCCGACGTCGCCAATCAATCGACGATGCATCGGCGATGCGGCGCGATCTTCTGACCCCATCTACGCGGACCCCCTTTGGGAAGCCCCTCTCAGAGGAGGGCGAGGTGAGACGAAGGTAGTTGGCCTTCGGGGGTCCCCTCGTCGCGATTTTGGGCTGCCGCTGTCGCTCTCAACTTGGTTTGCAGGTGCCTGCTGCGCAGCCAGACGGGACCTCTCCGACCGGGTGCGGCCGATCGTCTCGAGCGGGTGGGGTGCGGTGGGCTCGCCTCGTGCAGGCGCGGCGGCGGCGCAAGCGCGGGCGCTCAAGGTCGAAGCCCACGCGGTCTGATCACAGCCAGCACTCAATGGTGGCGGTTGTGAGAAAGCCACGACCACTCAAAGTTGGGCGATGTACGCGGGTCAGAGACCAACGCGCGGGTCATCACGATAGGAACCAGTCTCTGGTTGGCTTGCCTGTCGCAACTAGCCCCCTCTCAGGGAAATTCTTGGCGGGGGCCTCGTGGGCGCGTCTTGGGAGTTTGCTGTGGGGGACTGTTTTGGGGGTCTGTCTGGAAGTCTCGGGAGGTTCTGTCAACGTCCTGGGTGATGATTGGTTCGTATTGGGACAGGGGGCTGCCCCGAAGCCGCCCTGGGCTTGACTCGGGGCCGTCTTGTTGCGATTCTGGGTTATCTGGCGGCCCTCCGAGAGATCTTCTGACAGCTCAGAGGCCGTCCTGGGCCATCCAAGAGGTGCTTTGACGGCGCTGGGGCCTCGACCACCACGCCCATCTATTCTGGCGACGGAGACAGCGGCTGCGAAGACCGCGGCGTTGAGGACGAGGACGTCGACGTCGTCGGCCGCGGTGGCGACGACGCACGGCAGTCGAGCGGGCCTTCGGGGGTCGCCCGCCTACCGCTCTCACGGGTGGGACGGGACGCTGCTCCACGCCTCTTTCCCCTCTTGACCAGACGGGCGTGGGGCGGCGCCCCGCCCTGCCTTCCGATCTCGCTTCCGATCTGGCCTGGAGCGAGCCGGTTGCCGACTCGATCCGCTTCGGCTCTGCCGATGTCTTGCCGATTCGGCGACGCAGCCCGTCTCCAGGCGATGCTGGCGCCGATCCCGCGTTCGCGCGGACCCTGCACGATTTATCGACCCGGCGCTGCGGCCGCCTGCCATCGTGCCGTTCTTCGTGGGCGAACTGCGAAGCTCACGTCCGTATCCGCGGCCTCGTGGGCTGGGCCCCCCGGGCCGCGACTCTGCGGAGGCGGGGCGTTTTTGCCGCTGACGCCCCTCGCGGAACGCGTCCGTGCTGCCGCGTATCCACGGGCTCGCGCCCCAGCGGACACGGACGGACGTGGTCCTCCGCGGAGTCGCCGGCGTCGTCGCGCAGAGGCAGCGCGCGTGCGCCGCAGGTGGCGCCCCCCCTCCGGCGGGTGCCCCTCGCGGACGCCGAGCACGGCAAGCGCCTCCCGCAGAAGGTGCCGAGCTCGCCCTCGCTGGCCCCGCTCGCGGGCGCCCCGTGCGGCGCTCAGCTGCCCGACGCGTGTCCTGCCCGGGCGTTCTGCCGTGTTCCGCTGTCCTGTGGCACACAGCAGTCGTTACTTGCCCCCCCCCCCTCCCCTCCCCTACCCCCCACGGTTAAGGACCGTTACCAGAATCATCAACATAACATTCAATGCCTCTGTGAATGGGCTTCAGGTGGACCGTAAGCCTGTCGCAAGTGGTTCGTGTATCTACACGTTCACGGCTGCGAGCGGGTTTCAGGTGGATCGTTGTTTGTTGTCGTTCCTTTTGAGTCCTTCATTCTGTCAGAGAAGCCGTCCCTCCAAACTCTTGTAGGCATACGCAAATTTGCGATACGCTCGACCACCAGACCCAGAGCGACCACTCTGAACTTTTTTAGGCATGCCCAAAAACATTGGCTTATGTGATGCCCCAGGTCCCTTCGCACGCACGCCCAGCGACCCCACGCCCGCCGTGCGCACGCCGGTCCACGCTGGCCCCCCCCCCAAGTGCCAGCACGCCAAGGGGGGCCCGAACCCTGTCGTGAGCGATTCGTGCACCTGCACGCTCACGGCCGAGATCACGACCCACACGTCTTGAGGCCATGGCTAAGGTCAGGAGGAAAAGAAACACACAGACACAATTAATCTTCGATGTTCCAGAAAATATGGGAAACTATGGGAAGTGGGCGGGAACACAGAAACCCAGAAACTATGGGAAAATATGGGGGATTCTTTTATTTGTGTGTATTTATTTGTGCGCCCTTGGGCCCCCTCATAAGGGGAGGGCGTCGAGGTGTGGAGGCTTGTGCTCGGAGGCGCGGGCCCGGAGGTCCGCGGGAGCGAGGGCCTGGCTTGGTGGGGCTCTCGCGGGCCTCGTGGCGACGCGCGTCGGTCCCTCCCCTCCGCTCTCGAGGAGGGGTCTGCCGCGTGCTGGTGTGATGCCACCCGGGGGGGGGGGCAGATGGTTCATTTCTGTGGATTCGAAAGTGCCTCGATTTTTTGGGGGGCCAAGCTCCGTTCATTTCTAATTCTTCTGTCCTGGGCCTCTCTTCCTGGCCACTAGGGGCCCAGGAACAATTAGAAACGAGCACAATTAGGAATGAGCACGATTAGAAATGAACGACGTGTAGTGAAAGCGCCAGGCCCGCACCACCTCTCACAGAGCCCTCTTAGACCAGCCGTCTGTGGCAGGTGCCTTGGCGAGAGGGGTCGCACGCCTCATCTCCCTCTTCTTCTTCCCCCTCCCCCGCCACTTCCGCCCCTTCAATATTTGTCTCCCGGCCTCGGTACCCCGACTATTTCCGCCCGCCGTTTTACTCTGCCTCCTCTGCTAGTAGCTGCCGCCCGCTGCTGCGTGGTGCTGTTTCATGCTTCTTGCCACTTGTGTTGACGATTGCTGCTCGCTGCTTGCTGCTTGCCGCGCGCTGTCTGCTGCTGGCTGCTGGCTGCTGATCTGTGCTTACCTCTTTGTGATTACGTTATGTTTGGTTCTTGCTTCCTGCCTGCTGCTTGCCTGATGCTCGTTGCCTGCTTGCTGAGTGCCGCTTTGTGCCGTGGGTGCATTTCTTCGTGACGGTGCCGCTTGCGGCTGCGCGCTGGGGCTGTTTGATGATGCCTGCCGTTGCCATCCTTCTGCTGCTGGCGCGTGTGCCGATGCCTCTGCCGCTGCTGGAGGGTCTCGTCACACTTTCCGAGCCTCTTCGGTGTGTGAGGTCGGGTGGGGCTCCCCCCGCTCGATCGGGAGCACCCCCCTGGCGGTCCGACACCCCGCGCGCCGCTGCATCTGGCTTATGGCGCCTTCATCTCCTTGACCTCCCTCGTTCCTCCTCCATAGAGGGCTTGGGCGAGCGTTGCTCGTGCCTGGGCCCCCCACTCTCCTGCACCCGGGCCCCAGCAGCACCCGCCAGGACTCTTAGGAGGAGGAGGAGGAGGAGGAGGAGGAGGAGGAGGAGGAGGAGGAGGGGGAGGAGGAGGAGGGCGGAGGAGGAGGACGAGGAGGAGGAGGAGGAGGAGGAGGGCGGAGGAGGAGGAGGAGGAGGAGGAGGAGGAGGAGGGGGAGGAGGAGGCTGGGTGGCCGCCCTCCCTAGGCCCAGAGGCCCCCGACGGGGCGGCGCACCAGACCACCCCCCCAGCCACGCCCACGCCTTGCAGGCATCCCACAGGGCACGGCGGTAGTAAGCGGGCCCCCTCGAGTTGGCCGACGCACGTCGGGCCTGACGCAGTTGCTCGTTCGCGGACGGCTCCGGTGCACCGTGTCGATGTGGCGTCCCCCGAGCGAGGGAGGAAAAGCCACCCGGACCGGACAATATTGGCGCTTCCTGAACGGCCGTGGGCGTTTACTACACAGCCCTGCCCTGTTCGACTCCTTCCGTGGGGGCGTGCAGTGAATGGCTCCGCGCGTCGGGGTGGTCTTTATCGGGGTGGATTTTCTTCGGAGGTGGATCGACCTCCTACCCTGACACGTCGATTAAGGAATTGGCCGTTTTCGGTTCGCGAGAGGGCGCCGTGGCCGTCGTTTTTGCGGGTCCAGGTCCGTCGGTTTCGGTCCCAGGCAGGTTTTACTAAAGGGAGGTTTACTAAAGTGAGGTTTGTCCACCGCCGATAGTCGAGCCGACAAACCATACGCCGTAACGCGTTCGAGCGGGGCCTGACACGGGGGTCCAAACATGGTGTGGTGCACGGGCACCGTTCTCGTGCACTCGCGTCCGAGGCGGGAATTCTTATACATGACCACCGCCCGGTGGGTCAGTTTTTTCGGAGCCTCGGCAGGCGGTGGATATGGACACATTCGGGCCCCCGGGGGCCGAAAGATGTCCATATCCACTGCCCGCTGGGGCACGAGGACGTTCGTTGCCAGGCGGTGGATAGGGATATATCCCCGCCTCGCACATTCTATTCGGATGCAACTCCTGGGAGGTCAAATTCTGATTTTGCCCTGATCCGAAATCCGGCCTAATCCGGCTTAATCCCAGTTAATCCGGGTTGATCCCGCTTGATCCGAGGCCCATTCCGGCAGAACAGCCCCAGAATGGGGCTTAATTTTTCTTAATACTTCCGTCGAAGACTTCCCAGTAGTTGCCTCGTAAATTCTATTGTTCGTTCTTCTATTCCGATTTGCGGAATCTTGCCTCCCTTCTGGGTCGCTGTGGGCTTGTCTCACTTGGCTCGGTGCTCCCTTGCGGTCTTGTCCTGTGCCCGGCTCGGGTCCGACGTGGCTGCGACGCGGGTTCGACGCGGACTCGACCTCGATTCGACACAGGTTGGACGCGCGGGATGTGGGTTCGAGGCGGATAGCGGCGCGACGGGACAGGCGAGGCCCCCCGAAGATGCGAAGGGACCCCCCGATCCCCCGCAACACGAGGCAGCCTTGTTTCCAACAGGGCCACGGCGGCGCCGGTGACCCCAAGTGATCGGCGAGCTCTCGTCACGGATTGCCGTGGCTTCAGAGGAGGAAAAGGCACCTGTACCTCTACCCTTTCCTCGTTTGCCCCTTTTGGGGTCTTCTGGGATGCCCTTCTTCGCCACCGCTGGATTCGCCTCGACATCTTGGTCTGGACGCACCCAAGGGGAGGTCCAGTGAGTGTACTCCTTTTGGTTTCCCCATGGGGTGAGGCTGCCGCTCCGACGTGTTCGGAGACCGTGGCCAGGGCCGCTCCCGAGGACACATCCGTTGACGGCGGGACCGGCAGTGTGGTCGACCCTTGCTGTTTTCGTTCGAGAGGGCGGCGTGAATCGCGTTTGCTCGCGAACCCTACCCCTGCATGTGCAGTGGGGGCATGCACGAAGAAACCATATGCTTTTCGTCAGGGTATCATGGGTTTTTCGCTCCGCGCGCTGCGCGATGACTTCCCGCAGCCGTTGGAGAAGCTTTTGCGTTCAGGGTGCTCCAGGTTTCCCCCGTGAGCATCTCGCGCGCGGGGTTTCAGGGCTGGGTTTCTTGCGGCCGCGTCCGCTCTGCAAATCCTGTTCAATAGGAAGAGCATGCAGGGGTCGGGTTCGCGAGCCTGCAGTCTCGGCGCGGCCGAGTGTCACGGATGCGAAGGAGCGCCGACGTCGGGTCGGCCCAGCTGGACCTGGGTACATCGCGGCGATCCTTCCCAAGCTAAGTGGTTGCGCTAGATGCGGCGCAGCTAGGTATATGTTGATTGCATCCTTGGTGGCATGGTCGTGGTGAGTCTGTCGGGTCGCAATACAATGTTTCAGGTCAATGGTAGGGTGATCAGCTCATGTTCCAAACCACCCGGTCGATATATTCCGAGGTGAACTGCCCGATGTTTCTACCACTTCATCAGAGGCCAGGGCAACAAGCAGGTGACGCATTCGACATTCCAAGCCGTTTAGAGACCATGCAGTGCGCAGTTGTTTTTTCAGTAAGGCCTGCCTCGTGGGCAATGCCGCGCGGCTGTCGTTCAAAAACGCTGGCTTGCAATCATACCTATCAGGGGTGTCTCCGATATCCGGATGACGGAAGACGCCCTCAGCAAGGACGCTCGGCCTTCTTTGCCCGAGCCGGCCACATTCGGCAGACATCAGATGCAATTCTGAGATCTTCTGGAATTATTTGTCAAGCGACATTGCCGTGGACACTTCGTTTCCACAAGATTCTTTGTGAACTCGCCACCTGAGTATTTCCAATGTTGACCTGCTAGCCAGCGGGCATTCCGTTCGAATGCGACGCTCCAGCGCGAAATCTCAGAGGTGGACGCAAATGGGCATCACAGGTGGGGGTTCCAAAGGGAGGCGACCCAGGGAGGATCCGCATCCCCCTAGATTGCAGCTTAGGCGCCTAACGTTTCTTCGAACGTGGTTCAGTGTCCCTATCGTTTGTTTAAGGTTCTTCATGTTGTACTTCCTCCTCAGTTGGATCACTGAGGAGTGCTCAGCGAAATTTGTCAGACGTTGTTGCGTCAGTCCTCTTTGCGTTCACCTACAGACCACGGTCCTCTTTCACCCCCACCCTCTTCCCCAGCAGGGAGAAGAGAAGAAGGAGAAGCAACAGGGTAGCATCATAGCATGATACCTCCCCCTTGCCTCGCTTCTCCCCCCGTCAGTGCTCCGTTCCTATTTCCCTGCTGAGCTGCCAATTGCGAGAGAACAATGAGACGAACGCCATCATGATTACGAGCGCCCAGTTGTACTCCTGTTCTGCCGTGTAGCCGAGTAGGTGTATGTCGGCTTCAAGGCTTGATGTACCCCAGCCAGTGTGTGTGTGTGTGTGAGTGTGTGTGTGTGTGTGCGTGCGTGTGTGCGTGTGTGTGTGTGTGTGTGAGTGTGTGTGTGTGTGTGTGTGTGCGTGCGTGTGTGCGTGTGTGTGTGTGTGGGTATGTGTGTGTGTGTCTGCGTGCGTCTTATCCGCTCTCTCGCTGCGCACAGGGCCGCGACGCATAGAAAGTGTGTGTGTGTGTGTGTGTGCGTGCGTGCGTGCGTGCGTGCGTGGGTGCGTGTGCGTGTGCTTGTGTGTGCGCGCCCGCGCGCGCGCGCGTGTGTGTGTGTGTGTGTGTGTGTGTGTGTGTGTGTGTGTGTGTGTGTATGTGTGTGTGTGTGTCTGTGTGTGTCTGTGCGTGCTTGTTAGTGCTGAAAGTTTCCGATGTGGTATGTATGTGAACGCCTTTTCCAGTGGCCGCTTTGGTTCCTACGGTCTCTATGGGTGGCTCGCGTACTTCTTTGTGATCGTGTGGGTTCCTCGGATTGCTCTGGGTGCTTCCCAGTCGTGGGTGCCACTGGTCTGTCAGAAGCCATTGGCTTCGGAAGGCCACGTCGTTGCCCCTTGACGTGCAGACGATATCCGCCAGGCCGCGTCGCTCGGTGCCAGACAACCTCTTTGTGTGTACTTCGCCGCAGCTTCACAATTCGAACAGGTCCCCGACTCGAAGACGCGAAGCACCCGAAGTAGTGCTACTAGACCCGTCAGGAATAAGTTATCCCTTAGAGCGATTTCCACGATGATTGCAGACTGTGAGTTGGCGTTCTACCATCATGCATGTGTAGCGTTCTGGCTCCAGGTTCCGTCTTCGAGTGACGACGTGGCGCGCGCAGCATAGGGGAGCTCATAATAATTCACGTCTTCGCCCTATGCACTGCCAAGACAAGTGAATATCTCAATATCAAGTAAAACGAGTGGCCCTCCTTCATCTCTGTTATGGCCAGCCTTGTCGCTTGTGGAAAAGGCCGCCCGGCATACGAATTCCTCGTCGCGAAGCGCCGCCGAGTTAAACGCCGTGTTATCTTCAGTCGAGCTGAGCTCGTCTGGAAGTGGAGGATCGTGACCGAAGACTCACTGGTGCAGTCAACATCGAAGACGAGACAACGGCATAAGCATAATCTTGGCATCGCTCGGACGTGTGCATTTTCCTTCGGCGGGGACCAAAAACAACACAGGGAATGGACGTCCGAGCGATGGCCAGTAATTCGTCCGAGCTCCGCGCGGATGTCTTGGATCGACCCTGGACCTTCCTTGCGGCGCCTCCCGCGCAGCACCCGGCGCGCCCCGCGCGCCAGCGAGGGAGGTCCGGCGCCGATTCGAGAACTCTGTTCGGAGCTCCCTCCTCCTCCTCCCTCCTCCTCCCTCCCTCCTCCTCCTCCTCCTCCTCCTCCTCCTCCTCCTCCTCCTCCTCCTCCTCCTCCTCCTCCTCCTCCCCCTCCCCCTTCTCCTCCCCCTCCCCCTCCTCCTCTTCGGGCGCGCTTGGGAGCCTATTGGGGCCCTCTTGGGCTCTCTGAGGGCCCTCGGGGCCCTCATCTTGGGCTGTTTTGGGCCCCTTGGGGGGGGCTTCTGGGGCCGTTTACCCAGGCCGTGGGACTGGAGCTGTTTGTGCGTCTCAGCTCTCTGCCGCCGCCTCCAGCCGCTGCCTCTGCTCCCACGCCTGGCGTTCGGCAGTGACCTCCTTCTCGGTTTGCTCGAGCCGCTGCCCGTGCAGCTCGGCCCCTGCGCTCCCCTCCTGGTCGTCGCCGCCTGATCGGCGACGCGCAGGCCGTCTTTCTCGAAGCGATCCATCGCCGTCTCCCCGAGGCGGGTTGCCGGTGCCCGAACCGATCTTGCCGCGCTCTGGCGCGCGCTGAACCTCCCGCTCGTCTCCTGCTAGAAGACGGCCTCGACTGTTGTAGCTCGAACCCTGCGTTCGCCATGCTCGTCAGGTCGGCTCACTGCCTGCTGGCTTCCACCGACGCCCACCTTACTCGGGCACCGCAGTCGTTTTCGCACCCACGCAAGCTGCGTTACCACTGCCAGAGGCCATCCCAAGCGGTCGATCACTCCATGAGCGGGCTGGGCGCAGTGTCGTTGGTATTCTGCCGTGAATATTCAACACCTCTCTAGCTCCCACTTTCCCCAGCCGCGATTCCCCTCCCCACCCCCCTCTCCCCCTCCGCCCCTGCATCCCCTCCTCCTCGCTTCGCCTCTTCCTCCCCCCCTCCCTCCCCTTCCTGCTGGCTAGTACGGACACTACTCTCTTCCCTCCCCCGGTCGTATGCAGCGATACTTCCGCCTCTCCCGCATGTGTCGCCGCGCCGTTTGTCCCGACGCGCGGCCTTCCGTCTTGGGGCGGGCGCCGCGGACATTGGAGCAAATTCCGCTTCCGACGCAAGGCTTGCGGTGGGGTTTCCCGCGGTGCCGGCTTCGTCGATTTGGACGCGTTCAGAACAAGCGGCGCGGCGACAAATCATGTCGCGCAGGAGTCCATGCATTGATGTTATGCGTGCTTCTTCGATCGGAACGCCCCGTGTCTTCCACACATGTTGCTCCTGCTGCCGCGTGAGCCACCTCTCAGCATCGGCGCGTTGCCCCCCCCCCCCCCCCCGCCCCCTCAAACAGCGTGGCTCTCCCGACCTGGCGCGGGCCACATTTCTGTATTCGCTTCCTTCGTCGTTGCTGCCCCCCTCTCTTCCCCTCCTCCGCTTTCCCCTGCTCCTCCCGCTCATCGCGCTCCTTCTGCTCCTGCTCCTGCTGCTGCTGCTTCTGCTGCTGCTCCTTCTCCGTCTTCCTCATCCTCCTCCTCCTGCTGATCCCCAAGCTCTACGCATGCTCTTCCTTCTGCTCATCCTCCTGATCCTTCTCCTCCTCCTCCTCCTCGTCTAATGCACCCCCCCGTAGGTGTTCCTCTGGGGGCCCAGGTTCTCCAGGACACCCCGGTCGGCGGGTAGAGATTCATTGCATGCGCTGCCGGGGCGGATGGGCGGGCGGGGAAGGACGCGGGAGCACCCAGCCTGCCTTCATCCCCTCCTGGACTCCCAAGGGACGTTCGTGCCTCCGCCCCCCGCCGCCTCTCGCCTCCATCCTCTCCCTTCCCCCTCCTTTCCGTCCATCCCCCCTTGGCCTTCCCTTCCCCCTCGCCTCCCTCCTCTCTCGCCTCCCTCCTCTCCCTCCCCTCTCGCTTCCCTCCTCTCTCTCTTCCTCTCCTCTCCCTCCCCATCTCGCCTTTCCTTCCCTCCCCTCTCGCCTCCCTCATCTCCCTTCCCTCCTCTCCTTCCATCCCCTCGCCTTCCTTCCATCCCCCACCTCCCTCACCCTCCGTTCACGATCTGCCAGGACTGTCGCCCCACCGCCACCGCAGCCTCTTCTTCCCTTACAGCTTAGATCCCGAGTCACTTTGGCCAGTTAGCTACAACAAGATGCAGTTCATACAGTTGGACAGTTAGATACAGTGGACACCCCTTACAGTTTGATGCAGTTGCCTCACATCAGCTCCCACTCCCTCTCGCCACCCGCTTTCGTGCCAACGCGCGGTGCGGGATCAGTAGCGGGCGCGCCGGCGGCCACGTCTGCCCCGCAAGTGGCTCTGTGCTGGCTGCGGCCCCTCCGCCCGACGGGGGGCGGCCGGTGAGGGACGCGCGCATCCTCGCGCCGTTCTCCGGCCCGTCGCGCACTTTGCCGAGGGAGGAAGAACCTCGGGGCCCCCAAATTTGGTGATGACCCCACCGCGTGGTGAGTCAGAGGGGATTCGCGGTCACCGCACGGTTTTGGGACTCGGGTCGTTCTCCGAGGATGCATCGGGCGACTGGGGCCTCCGAGGTCCCACGGTTTTGCGGAGACGGGCCGCGTGGTGAGGTCTCTTGGGTTGTCAAGGTCTCCGCACCTACCGTCACCACACGGTTTTGGGACCCCTACAGGTCTCCCGTCGCTGTCGCTTTCCCTGGACAGCCCTGTGAGGTCGCCGGGCAGCCCGGTCCTGCCAGAGTCGTCTCCATTAGGATACAGGGGGTCTGATTCGTTGGTGGTTCTTCCACCCTCTTCTCCGCAGCTAGATGTTCCGTCGCTGTCTTCTTACTCCGAGCCTCCAGTTGCACCGCCTTTTTAATATTTGATGTAGGAAGGATTTTAGGCTGCAGCTCGGCGTCACCAGCCCCCTCTCCTATCGCCTCTCCGTCCCTTTCCCTCGCCTCCCTCCCCCTCGTGCCCCTCTCTCCCTCTACTACATCCCCACCCCGCACTCCCCTCTTCTCTCCATCCCTCCCCTGCTAAGCTGCTCCTCCCTGCCCAGACCTCCCCTCCGCATCTGCCGCCCTTCTTCTCTTGCACTCCGCTGCCCAACCCAACCACACGCGTCTCCCTCCCCTCTACTTCCTTCTCCCTTTCTCACCGCCCCCCTCCCTCCTCGTCCCCTCCCCCCCCGGTTCGCCCTGGAGCGCGGAGCAGGATTCGTACAGGTAGCGGGCATGCCAGCGGCAACTGGTCAGTGTTTGGCACGCTCCCGCTAATGGTCTGTCCTCATTGAATAGTTGCTCAAGTCGTCCTCTGAACATTGTCAGGGTGCAGCGTATCACACTGAAGCGTTCTCTTCAGTTCAGAAGGACAATAGCAGGGTCCTTCCTTCTGTGGCGTGGACATCGCGGCCGCGCCTCTTCAAAATGGATGGAGCGGTTGCGCGTCATTTGCGGGCCTTGCTCGCGGCGTAGCCCAACATGAGCGCATGTAGACTGCGTGCTCCGGGGGAATCCCTCCAGTTTGCGTTAACACATGTTCGGATTTCTCTGACCGCTTTGCCGCCGTATCCCTCAACCTTGTTCTCAATATTGTCGAGAGTACTTGTCCTCACAGCAAACACGGTGCGCCACTGGCTGCCGCCGCCGCGATTCACCCTCGCTGCGTGCTGCGCGCGCAGCCAGAGGAGGCACAGAGCAACGAGGAGGTCGAGCTGTGTAGCAGGGGCGGCACGCACGCACACGTAGCCGTTTTGGCTCAAGCGATACTGGCTCCGAGCCAGGGCGAAGGTCCACCCACCCGCGCCCCTGCTCCGGCGCTCGCCTGGCATGGTCCTGCCACGTGTGACTGCCCTGCTGCTCGGATCTGTGTCGGTGGTGAGTGCCGCGGCCACGCCTGGGGACCCGTTCCCACCAGCAGTCGCAGGCGGGGGGTGGCAGTGGGTGCCAATGCCCGGGTCGAAATGCATGGACGGGCAGGGGACTGGCGTGTACATCAGGCGTGGTCACTCCGATAGCACAAAGCTTGCGGTCTACCTCAACGGCGGCGGGGCGTGCTTCGACACCGCCACCTGCATGATGGCCGCTACGAATCCACAACCTGGGAAGCCAGGGGATAGTGGCATCTTCAGCACCGACGAAATGAACCCACTCCACGACTTCAACTGGATCAACGTGCCCTACTGTACTGGAGATGTTCACCTCGGCGCGGCAGAAAATCAAGTTGGGGGAGCCCACCGCTACTTCCATGGCCACGCAAACCTGCAGCTGATCGCGGCAAGGGCAGTTGCGTCCTGGCCGAAGCTGGAGACCTTGCTCGTCACGGGCGAGAGCGCCGGCGGCTTTGGGGCCCTCGCAAGCTACGCGGTCTTCCGCGAGCGCTGGACTGCAGCTACGGGGAACTCCGATCTCCGCGCTCTATTGTTGGACGACTCTGGGCCGATCATGGATGACGCAGCCATCCCAGTCTGCCTGCAACAGATCTGGCGGGAAAGTTGGAACATCAACGCTTCCCTCGCCGCGGGGTGCCCATGCATTCCGAGAGACAAACATATATGAACATACACGTTCGGAGATCCGCGCGGATTTCTTGGACCCGCGCTGGAGCCCCCAGGCACGCTCCGCTTCCCAGGGAGGGGGTCCAGTGCCGATCCAAGAAATCAGCGCGGACTTCCGAACGTTTATGTTTGGGCCTTGTCTTTGTTCCTCTTAGCATCGGCAGCCAGGGAAACATAGCTTCAGTGTGGGCGTACTGGCGGAAAATGTACCCCAATGACAGCTTCGGCCTCATCTCGTCGGTGCAGGACTCCGTCATCTCGAAGTTCTTCTCCTTCGGGCTCGACGACTGCCGGTTTCCCTTCCCCGTACCAGGCTACAGCAAGATGCTCGAGGGCGGCCTGCAGCGACTGTCGGCGACGGGCGTCCCCGTCTACATCCGAGGAGGAAATCAACGGCATAAATTTAAACTTTCGGAAGTCTGCGCAGATTTCGTGGAACTCACGAGCGGCGAGCATATCCGTATCCGCGCCCTGGCAGTCTGAACTCCAGGGCGCGATCGCGCGGATACGCGGTCGCACGGATACATTCCGCGAGGGGCATGAAAAAACGCTCCGGATCCACGGCGTCGCGGCCCAGGGGTCTGGAATGCGAGGCCGCGGACACGGATATGGTTTTCGCCCGCGAGGATCGCCGCTGGAACCCCCTCCCTGGCGCGCGGAGCAAGCCAAGGGCGGCGCCGATGGCGCCGCCTGGGGGGCCCAGCAACGATCCAAGAAATCAGCGCGGATCTCCGAAAGTTTATGTTTGCAGTAGGTGCGTGTCGTGTTGACGTGGCGGCGACCCCGCTGGGGGCGTTCAAGGTTGCACTTCGCCAGTGGCCCCGCATCGGCCGACATGGAACGACCGGGCGATCGAAAGCGTGCCGACCTTCCGAGGTGGAGCGATCCACGCGGCGTCAGAATACCAACGCTCAAGCCGCCATGATGCGAGCCTGCCGTGTGCAGCTCTCTCTTCCTCGGTGCATGATCCCGGGCAGCTCACACACCCACACGACCTCCGACGAGTTCTTCAACCGCACGGTGGGCACCACCAGGCTGTGCGAGTGGGTGGCCCAGCTCGCCGGCCCGGGGCCCGACCCGGGCAGCGTGAGCGCGCCCGCCGACGGCGGTGGCACCGCGGGGTCCCTGGTGGACGCCGCGAGCGACATCGTCGTGTGAGCAGCTGCGAGCTTTTTTGCCATAGATCTAGGCGTCCCAGGTGGGGTCGGAGCAGATATGGGGTCGGAGGGTCGGCGCCGTGGGCACAGATAGGGTCGGAGGCTCCGCGCCGCATCGCCGATGCATCGGCGATGTGGCTCGATGTGAGGGCCGAGCTTCTCCGCGCCGTTGTCGCCGAGGCATCGCCGACGTCGACAATGCGTCGCCGATGCAGCGCCGATGCATCGGTGATGTATCGTCGATGCTGCGCGTTCGTCCGACCCCATCTACTCGGACCTCATCTGGGAGGCCTCTAGTAGAGGAAAACGGGTCTCGAGGCTCTTCCCGTTGTGCGGGGCCCCGGCCCCCCCACGCGGCCCGGGACCGTCAGAGCACCGCTCAGGGCGAAGAGCTGGTCCCAGGGACAGGCCCCCCGGGTCCAGGTCCCGTTTCCCTCTGGATCCGCGTCTCCTTCATGCCAAGAGTGGATCGTGCCATGGTTCTTTTTGGTTGTTGGGCAGGCAGGCGGGGCACCTCAGGCGCCAGCGCGGGCCTGTCTGCGGCGTGTGAGCCGGTTTTTGCTTCTCATCCCTCCGGACCCGTTCCTTCATGCCAGGAGTGGATCGTTGCACGCATTTTGCTTATCGGGCAGACGGGGCACCTTGCGGGGACGCCCCGCTGCGGGCGTGTCTTCGGCGCGTGGGCCGATTTTTGCGTTTCAAGAGGCGCCGCGCGGGCGATCCGCAGATCTCCAGCAGTGGGGCGGCGGAGGTTTGGGTCGGTGCGTGCGCAGCAGCAGAGGCGGCTGCTCCTGCTGCAGGCTTCGGTGGAGGGCCCAGCGCAGTGTCATTCGGTAGCAAATCATGGGAGCTTGGTCTACCCTCTTAATTCCGTCTCTGGCGTCGATTAGCGTTTGGGAGTCGATGAGTTAGCGCCGATTTTGCGTCGGTTCGCATCGATTGGCGATTAGAGCCGATTTAGCGTCGATAAATGTCGATCTAGCGTCGATTGACGTCGGTTCGTAAGAGCCGAGAAGATGGTATGGGAGGCGCCCACGGGTTGCCACCGACGCATCAGTGAGTTTTAAGGCTTCGCGGCCTCCCCCTGGGGCACCACCGCATTTGAATCCCGGGGCGCCCCCCGGCTCCCGCACGCGCCCGTTGCACTGACGTCCCGTCGGCGCGCGGACTTTTGGCCGGGTCTGGAGCGTGGCACACCGCCCGCGAGTCCTGAGTTGCGCGTGTGCGTGCGCGTGGGGGGCCTCATTGGCTACCACTGCACACCTTGCAGCCGGGAGCGTGGGGGCAAAATGTGTCATGAGTCCTAGTCATCATTGGTCGCCCTTCTGGCCTGGAGCCCTTGCCGATCTGAGCGGAACCTCTCCTGCTGGTGCCGATCTCTTCTTTGCGTGCCGCGCATCATACTTACAGTGCATTTCGGCGTTGTTTTTGTTTGTTTTGTTAGTCCTTCTCCTCCCCGACTCTTGGTTGTCTTAGCACATACATAGATCTAATGACCTTCGGCCCAGCTGCCACCGTGCGTGCCTTGGATGCTTCTTGGGGTCTCTTCGTAGTGCCTTTCGGAGGTGTCCCTTTGGGGGCCTCTTGGGATTTCCTGGAGGCCCCTCGGGGCCGAGGGTTCGAAATGTCCGTTCGGGTTCCTCATCTGGGACCCCTCGTTGGGCCGTCTTTGGGCCTTCTTGGGCGCCTCTTGGGCCGTCTTGGGACCCTCTCTGGCCGCCTTGGGGCCCTCTTGGGGGCCTCTGGGGCCGTCTTGGGGCCATCTTGGGGGCCTCCTGGGAAGTCTTGGAGCGTCGGGAATGCCAAAATCAGTCATAAATCCTAGGACGAACATCGACTTGTGGCGTCCAACACCCGGATAACGGGGCAGTCCAGGACGCTTGGAACCTTGTGGGAGGCGCTTGCAAGGACGCTTGAAAGGATGCCCGAAGAGCTTGCAAGCTCGAAAAAGGAGCTTTGCAGGAGCTCAGGAAGGGCTGCGAAGGAGCTGCGGAAAGACTTGTGGCAAAGATATTGGGAACGAGTAGGAAGCGCTCCTGGAACATGCTGGAGGGTCAAGCAACTCGCGGCGAGGTGTCCTGCCCGGCGCCAGAACGTGCTCCGGGACTACCATGCGCTGCCGGCTTTTGGTCTGAAACCCCTTTGGCCCTCAGAGAGCAATCCGGGAATGTGTGCCTCTTGGGGCCCCCTTGGGAGGCCTCTTGGGGCGTCTTGGAGGCTTCCTGGGGCCGTCTTGAGACAATTCTGGGTGTCTTGGAGCGATCGTTCGGCGTCTCGGGGACTTCATGGGCCGTCTTGAGAGCTTTTTGAGGCCCTCCTGGCCCGTCTCGGGCCTTTCTTGGGCACGAGGGTGTTGTGTTGTGTTGTTCCCCCCCCCCCCCCCCTCCGACTCACCGGGGGGCGGGACCGGCCTCCTCCACTGTGGCGGACGCGGGAAGTGAAGCCCCGGACCGCGGGGGGACCATGCCGGCCTGTACCTTGTTGTTGTTGTTGGTGTTGTTCTTGTTTTTGTTGTTGTTGTTGGCGAACACTCACTTCTGAAAAATAATTATTGTTGATCCCCCCGCCCGGTGCACATTGTATTTTTCGATTGAAGTGCCCCTCCTGGGGCTCGCACCCTGTTTTTTGTTCATGGCAAGTCTGGAGGATCAAACTGTGTTGTTGGCCCCCAGTTTACAACAACAGCGGCTCCCGCCTGATACTTCCTCACAGTGTATTGAAGAATCGCGCTCCCGCTACTTCCTTGCAATTTACCACCGAATCGCGACTCCCGCTTGATACATCCTGACAGTGTATTGCAGAATCGCGTTCTCGCTTGGGGCTTCCTCGCAACTCACCACCGAACCGCTTCGCTTGCTTTTTCCTCAATTTATTCAGATGCTGGTCCTCGACAGTCAGGAATCGCGCTCCCGCTACATTATGCCTGGCGGTTCAAGCAGGACTCACGCTTCAACGACCCGCCCGCTCGACCAGCCCGTTGGGGCCTGCCCGCCCGACCAGCCAGTTAATGACTGCAGTCGCCGCTCGGTGTCCTTTGCCCGCCTTCGATGCCCCTCGCTGCCCGTGCTGGTTCCGCGGTCGCCTTCGCTCGCTGCCCTTCGTGGCCCCGTTGCTGCCCTCAGTGGCCCCGTCGCTGCCCTGTGTGGCCCCGTATACGAATGCCCTTCGTAGCCCCCCGCTCGCAGGCGCCCGTCGTGCCCCAATATGCATGCCGTTCGTAGCCTCGCTGTCGCCCTTCGTGGCCTCCTCGCTGCCCTTCGTGGCCCCTTTGCTGCCCTCAGTGGCCCCGCTGTCGCCCTTTGTGGCCCCGTATACGAATGCCCTTCGTAGCCCCCGCTCGCTCGCGCCCGTCGTGGCCCCATATGCATACCCTTCGTGGCCCCGCTGTCGCCCTTTGTGGTTCCCTCGCTGCCCTTCGTGGCCCCGGTGCTGCCCTCAGCGGCCCCGTCGCTGCCCTCTGTGGCCTCGGATTTTGTGCCCTTCGTGGCCCACGCTGGCTTTTCTCACGATTTACTTGGGAGTCGCGCGGTCGCTCGAGACTTCCTCGCGATTCATGCAGGACCCACGCTTCAGCAACCCGCCTGCTCGATCTGGTCGCCTAGTCGCGCCTTACCGACCTGCCGCTATAGGTCTGCCCACCCAATCTGCCCGTCTGGTTCTACAATTTGTTTTGCTGTTCCTTGCACCCTTCCTGCTAATTTCTAGCGTGTTCCATTCTTCTCCCTCCCCTTCCGCCCGTCCTCTCTTCCCTTGCTTTACGGGCTGCACTAATTGCACGTGGCAGGTACGATCGAAGACGACGAGGGCGGGTACCGAGGTTTTGGGATACACGTGTTGACTGGCACGTGAGCAGATAGGAGCGAACAGTCTGAACATGATTGTTGTTTTTTGCTGTTGTTGTTGTTGAACATTATTACTTCTAAAGAATAATTATTGTTGGGACCCCTGGTGCACGACCCCCCCGCCGCGCCTAGGCCGCAGCCTCATTTTCATCATTTTCGTGAGGAAGTCTCAGGCAAAACGGGGGAGTCCGGATCCGGTTGTGTTGTTACGATCGGTTTTCCCTTGCAAAAAAAAGCTAAAGTGGACATTTCTTGTTCTAACATAACCAAACTTCAAGAATCCCTTGCAAAAAATAAGGTAAAGTGGACATTCGCGCGCGCAAGACGAAATCCTTCCAAAACCTTAGTTTTCGTAGCGATTTTAACATAAAAACATCAAAAAACCAATGGTTTTTCAAACAAAAAATGTCAAAATTTCATCCCGCGCGCTCTTGCGGATTCGTAGGAAACCCAACACTTTTTAAACATTTCTGTCAAACGGGCTTTTGCGAGCAACTTTTTCGAACTTCTGCAACAACGGTTGCGCACCTGCCAGGGCCATCATCCCTGTCAAAGAATACCATGCGGGACACATTCGTTTTTTCTTCGCGCGCGCACGCCGAAATCTTCAAAAACCATTGGGTTTCTTAGGAATTTTAGCACCGCGCAACATAAAATCATACGAATCGCACCGTAGGTCCTCGAAAAACATCCAGAAAGTCGTATACTAAGCTAGCGACCTTAGTAAGTCGTATACTAAGCTAGCGTCCAGAAAATGTTACCACAACAAGTCACTGTACCCATGCGCCAGTGTAGTAGCCACGGTCGTCCGCAGGCCACGAAGTGAAGTGTCCGAACGTCATAGGGCGGGAAGCTGGGTGTGGGTGGTGGCGAAGAGTCGTTTGGAAATGTGGTAGAGCTTGAACCGGCCCCCCCACAAAGTGGGGGTATTGCCCGCCTCCATGAAAACCCTGGCACTGGTGAGAACGGAGTGTCCCCACGTGCTAGTAATTGTTGAACATTATTACTTCTAAAGAATAATTATTGTTGGGACCCCTGGTGCGCGACCCCCCTCCAAAACCTAGGCCGCAGCTACATTTTCATCATTTTTTAGCGAAAGCTTCAGAAAAGTGAATTATTACCGGATCCGGTTGTTTTGTTGTACTCCGTTTTCCCTTGCAAAAAACACTATAAAATGAAAATTCTTGTTCTTACTTGATCAAATTGCAAGAATCCCTTGCAAAAAATAAGGTAAAGTGGACATTCGTGCGCGCAAGACGAAATCCTTCCAAAACCTTAGGTTTCGTAACGATTTTAACATAAAAACATCAAAAACCCAATGGTTTTTTAAGAAAAAATTGTCAAAATGTCCTTCCGCGCGCGCTGTCCGAATCCCACAAAACCAATGGTTTTTCAACATTTATGTTACATGAGCTCGCGCGAGCTACTTTTTCTTGTTCTAACATAATCAAATTTCAATAATCCCTTGCAAAAAATAAGGTAAAGTGGACATTCGCGCGCGCAAGACGAAATCCTTCCAGAACCTTAGGTTTCGTAACGATTTCAACATAAAAACATCAAAAACCCAATGGTTTTTCAAAAAAAAATGTCCAAATTTCATCCCGCGCGCGCTGTCCGACTCCCACAAAACCAATGGTTTTTCAACATTTATGTTACATAAGCTCGCGCGAGCTACTTTTTCTTGTTCTTACATAATCAAATTTCAACATCCCTTGCAAAAAAAAGTAAAGTGGACATTCGCGCGCGCAAGACCAACAAAAAACACGACGATCTCAGGAACTTGCCCCAAAAATGTGACCAACTCCGCTCTCTCTGTCTCTCTCTCTGTCTGCTCTCTGTCTCTCTCTCTGTCTGTCTGTGTCATGTATTGTATGTCACAATTGCAGGATGCTGGGCACACGCGCGCCCCGAATAAGTGACCAAGTTCTGTGGGTGTGTACCCCACGCCAGTGTAGTAGCCACGGTCGTCCGCACGCCACGAAGTGAAGTGTCCCAACGTCATAGGGCGGGAAGCTGGGTTTGGGTGGTCGCGAAGAGTCGTTTGGATA